TATTGTTACCCGACAATGGTCTATGCAAAAGCAGAACGCATTTTTCATTGCATTTCTCACATGCTTTTTCCAGGTAAGGGGCGGGGTTTGTCAGAGACGTAGAGGATCTTAGATAGTTACACACGAACTGACAGTATGTCACCTATCAGCTTAAATTTCTGAATTATACTTTTGTACACTGACTGAATGAAGGTTTCCCTTCGAAAGAGGTTCTTACAGAAATAATGCTTTAATTATTGATTGATCCTTGAACTATGAGACATTTATTGATTTTCTACAGATTGGTCCCATCTTCACAATGCCTGTAGCCGGGGCGTTATGTACGTCATCACTTGGATGGTCATCTGTTTATTATTTACATGCCATTATTACCTGCATTTTGTTTCTGTTATTCCTATACTTCTACAGGTAACTAACTCGATTAATAAATCAATAATTGATTGATTATGATCAATATTCAGGGAGCAACCCCAAATGCATGCATATGTGTCTGCCAAAGAACTGGATCGTATAAAACGGAACAAAGGAGACACAAATAAACGTGAACCGCTACCCATAAAGGTACGGTAGCCAGTTGAATGTCAGCAATTCGATTGATACCCATCTCAATCGCTATCGATTAATCTGCCCAGCAGAAGCGATCAATTATCGATTTTCGGGAAATAACCAATCAATACTGATCAATTTAGGCTATGGTAACTTCAAATGCGATCATTGCCGTATGGATCTCGGCTATCGCAAATTTTATGGGTATCCAGGTGACAATGCAATTCTCACCTATTTATCTCAACAAGGTAAATGAATGGAAATCGATATATTGATTGCTTAGTTCCCTCACTTGAGCTCCTTATGTTGTAGGTTATGGGGTTCCCAGTGGAACAGACTGGTCTATTCAGTGCCATACCGCAGGTAAGCAGAAAAATTATTGTATTTCTTGGGCTATAGCTTCTAACTTTTATTTTTTCATCAATTTCAATCGCTCCCCTCCGAATAGGGATAGAGGGTTTTCAAATAACCTACTATTCGGACAGATGATATGAACTCCCGGATGGACGTGAGTTTGCTGTGCCTCCTGGTCCCATCGGTCTAGCCATGACTTCGAAAATCTGTCCTTGAATTCTCTAGAAAAAAAAATGAATAGATTGCATATCCTTCCGGCCATGAAACCATAGATTTGACATTTCGATAAACGGAACAAAACTTCCCAGCGGTCTCCCAAAACCCCTCTATTTACAAATTGTGTTTGGGAAATAGCCCGCCGGATTTAATTCTCTGTCTTTCAGATCGTGACTTTTGTCCTGAAGATGTTTGCTGGCGTTCTGGCTGATAAGGCCACATGTTGCCGACCGGTCACATCTGTGAAGATCTTCAATATGATAGCAATTGGTGGCATGGGAATTGCATTCTTCATACTGGCCGTTATACCGACGTCAGTTTTTTCAAAAAAAAATTAAAAAAACAAAATCAAAAGTTCGCGAGGACCTAAGGCCGTAATCGAAACAAGGAATATCTTGGGTATCGCTTATAAGCTTGCTTTTGGGTGATCAGTTGTTAATTTTCAGCTTGGAAAAGTCGACTTTAACATCTAAAATCAATCGATACGTATCTTTTTCAGGTCAATGCCAACACTTGCGTTGGTGATACTTATTATTTGCACTTCCATAGTTGGATTCAATTGTGGTGCATTCTTTCGCAGTTCCGCTATAGTTGCTGCGTGGGTGGAGTTTTTATTGATCAATCAATTGATCCATCTATTAATAATTTATTTATCTCTTTACTTAGTTATTAAATGATTCAATCATCTCCTTTTCCAATTTACACAATTATTTTTGGCCCAATAACCCATTTGTTTACAAGGTATTTACATATTTTTGTGATTATTCAACGCTGAAAGCCAAGACGCCATAGAAAAGGACTTGGGCCATAAATTTTAATAATGAATATGTCTACAGTTAGATGGCAATTTTGTAAAATAATGGTTTATTATTTAATGATTTCTAGGCAACATAATCACTTCGTGATGGGTGTGAATTCTTTTTTCAACTGCCTAGCAGCTTTGTTGGCACCCGTCGTGGTGAATATTTTCGTTCGCAATGACACTTGGGATGAATGGTGGTACGTTTTCAGGGCCTTAAGAACCGTGCACGGCACGAACTCGTCCAAATCCATACCATACCGTATTCAGGTATGTGTGGATAGTGCATGGTATCGTAATGACGCTTTGCAACATCTACTTCATGTTCTTCGGTAAAGGGGAACCAGCTGAATGGACAAAACCAGGCTACGGGGCTAGAGTGGCTCCATCAGCACCGGCATTGTCTGTGACACCTGAATCCTACCCTAAAGATGGACAACTTACTTTAAGCTTCAATGACAAGGTAAACCAATACTTTCGAACTGAACACTATGAATTCTTCCACGGCATACTGTAATTATTACAGATCTCCGTCTCCGTTCAAACAACTGATCCTCTACGATGTGATACATGCCTTGGCCATGGCGGTGGCAGTTCACCATCGCCCACTACCAGTGATCACAACGCAGACACGTCGCCAATTCTACCACCAAAAGGGTGGAGTCCACCATCGGCTAAGGAGGCTTTCGACTCCCTAGAGGACTACCTCGACTCTGATCCTGCTCGACCCAGCAGATCCAGGCAGAAAATTGTCCTCCCTCCTAGTCCCCAGAAATGATCTTATCAGTTCAGATTGGAATGGTATAGGCTGGGCGAGTGCAATATAGTCGGAACATTCTTCCATAAGATGCAGATGATCGATATTAATAAATAGGTCATAAGAATTGGCTATGCTACTACAGGAAAACAGCAGATCGGGACTCATCTTGTACCTATAATACCAAACAGTATCCACAACGGCTTGTGGGCGGAGATTTCTTGCATGTAGTTAAGCCATTCCGTTACAAACGGTAAGGAATACCTCTATCCAAAAAATTGATAACTGCAATTATCCTAAAATTCCATAGATAAGAGCGGTCCATAGATAAGAGCGGTCCCTTAAAATCGCTATTTTTCTATATGAATTGTTCATTAAGTGGGCGGGGTTTAGAGTTGAGGGGCGGAGCTTCTTCTAAACTTCTCCTCCGATTTTTATTTATCCATCCATCAAGTTAGAGGGGTGACTGCATTAATTTCAATTTTTCCATTTCATTTTTCACCGGTAAATCAAACCGCTCTTATCTATGGAATTTTAGGGTACTCTATAATGGGAAAGCGCAGCAAGGCATCTCCGCCCATACACTCATTGTGGACAGCGCTATCTAACTCAAAAAACTGGTTCCCTTTTACAATATTTATTTTCAGAAAGGGTAGTTGTGTAGAATAGCACTAATGCGGATACATGGGCGAAGACGTGTGCAACTCGTCCAACAGGGGTGG